TTTCCATGATCCCAATATTACCCCTCTACTTTAGGGAGACCATGAGATCCCCCCGCTGCGAGTGCCTGCCGCGATCAGCATAGATCATGGAAGAAACTTCCAAGAACCTGCTCCGACGGGACGGTGAGTTTCCCCCGAAATTAGGGGTACCTTTAGAGGGGGCATGGGGTGTATATGAGGGTTATATAGAGGATGTACTTTTTTTGTGGGACCTTTTCTCCAAGGCATGATTCCCCGAGATGCTAAGTCAGCACGGTCCAGGTACCTCACGGGCTCAGGGCTTAGTACCATTTACGGTTCACAACTTACTCTTGAAGCGAGGCCAAGTGTCTGAGGCGGATAACAAACAATCGCCCTATGTTCAGACTTACTGAGGCACACTCGGTAGCTTCCCAAAGTAAGGGGACCCTAACATACACCCCTATATATTGTAATCCGTATTATAAGGACCCCAACAAGGTACCCCCAAAAGGTTCCCCTAATTTTGGGATACCCGCATTCAAGAATTCAGGCAAGTCAGAGAGCTGAGAACTCTAGCATACCACACCCAGCGTAAGATCTACCAGAACAAGCTGCCAAAGGGTTTAGGGTTTAGAGTACCCCTTGTCTATCCCAATCCTCTGAACTTGCAGACATCAAAGACTTTGATATGAGCTATAGTCTAAACTCCTAGTATCCCCCTTGATATCCCCTATAGTAGTCCCCTATATAATCCCCTATATAACCCCCCTTTAAGGAGTTTAGACTATGGCTCATATGTGATGGATGATTCCATGGGTGCTGGCGCCCCTTGGATCCTCCCAGTGCGGACCTTCAAGACTCAAACGCCTCTAATTGCAATGATTCAAGATTTCCTTCAGAAGCCCGGTGTGCATTCGAGCTTGGAATAGTTATTTGCCAATGGAGCTAGACCACACGTGCCCTTGTGATCAATGGTGGCTGCGCAAAAAAATCGACTTCTAAGATTGCCGACTGCCAAACCGCCAAAGGGAGCTGACACCTTCAACCCTGAAGGGTTTAGGGTTTAGGGTTTAGCCTTCAACCCTGAAGCCCAAACCTAGCAAGTCGTGAGAAGCCATACATGTTTATCTACTGATTCGGCAGCGATCAAGGTCTCATGCATGGAGACCCTAAGGGTCCATGCACCCAATAATTAGGCACTTGGGATTTTGGTAAAAGTAATGATAGTACTTGGGGATTCTGATTAGTAAGCCCCCCCCCCTAACACGTACGATTCCAAACAATCCAGGGGGGCCCAATCAACAGTCGGAATATTTGTTTGGGGGGGGTCCAGGCCTGAACCCTGAGCCTTTAACTTGGAACCCCGAACCTCGAACCCTAAACCTTGAACCCCGATCCAGAACAGAGCATGGAACTATTCCGTTCCCGTGTTGTTATTAATCCGTTCAGGCCCAGGTCTATTCCGTGCCCTCTTTTCTTATTCCGTTCAGGTCCGGGCCCATTTACTAATCAGAATACCCCACTACAGGTTTTGGGTGAATATATTATTAGTAGGTACTTGGAAAGATGTTCTGCCGACATGGGCTCTGCGCTGAACATTATATTAGGACTTTGAATTTGGATTGTCCAAAGCAAAGGGCAAGGTAAATACATGAGATCTCAGCATGAATGGCCAGTTTAATGGTATTTTCAAGTTTACGAGGTTAAAAGAACAAGAAGTGTAGGAATCTGCATAGTAACTATATATGGAGACGGAATACGTCAGGGTCCATACTGTAGGTGCTATTCTAAACATTTGTTCGAGGGGAGTGTTGTTGCCTGAAGCCGTCTATTCCGAACTGCTCCATCCAGAAGGCGATGCTGGAAAGGAGGTACCGTTGGACCTGTCCAAGAAGCCACCCCAACCAAACTCAAAAGAAGGGATGGGAAAATGAATCCAGGACGCAACAAACCTATTCCAGGAAGAGTCATGGTTCCAGCAGGGCAGACGGAGATAGCCATGACTGGAAACTGAGAATCTGACAATTCAGCAGTGACAACCAAGACTTACAGACAACACCGCCAAAATACCAAGCTTCTCATGACGCTGTGCTGATATGGATGCCGGGCAATATGATACTACAGTGATGTAAGAGCTACAGAGGAAGACTACTAACAACACCAGCAAATGACAATACAGCACGTGTCATAGTTACAATACTGGCAGCTGCGCCTCACCCTCTTCGAAGTTGTAAATGCGCGCGCCGCTGATGGGATGGAAGCCCTTCCTCGGATCTTAAGGATTGCAGTGCAGTGGTTTCAGGCGGTCAGAGGTTTGGGGTCCTGTTACGAGGTTGTAGGGGATTCCTAGGGCTTAACTAGGGTGTCTAGGTTGGAGGTCAGGTGTTCTGAAGTTTGAGGTTCAGGGACTGCATGGCCGGTCTTGAAATGAGAGAGGTCATATTAGCAATAGTATACCTGCACCCTTTCTGATGTGCAAAGTGAGGCTCGAACATGGCTGGAAGCTTCGTTTTTTTCTCTCCGCGGCTGCCGCTCAGTGACCACTGCATGTCAAACATCCCACCGTAAAACAGCCCACCATGATTCCGGTGAACCTTTGTTTGGCTGCAGCCAGGGCGCTCTCCCCAGTGGAAGAATTGTCCTCCCAACCCATCCTGTCAGAAAGTCAGGATTTGACACATGCGCTTGCCTCTTGTTCAGGCGGAATGCAACACTCTCGAACCCTGCAATAATCCCCGTTTGATCCTCATACTCATCCCAGTACTACTTCAAATAATCATCCCCGTAATACCGCCACAATCCCCTCCTTCAATCACTACTAACAAGAGGTAAGTAGAGGGCGCACACGGGTTTGGGAAGTCCTCAAAAGCAGAGAGTTCAGAATTTGCTTTCGTAGGATGGGCACCGTGTTGCTCTCACCTTTTGAGCATGCAATGACGTTGATGCTGAAGGTTGAACACACCCAAAAAACTGAGCCCAAAGCAAAGATGACTCATTCCTCCTACTCGATGCTACCTGTACCGCCCTGAAACGATGTCCACAAGCAAGCATCCTCATGGAAAGCCGTGACCCTTGAACCTGGACAACAAGGAACGCCTCCGAACCTGATCCATCCAGGACAGCTCAAAACCCCTCAAGCCTACCTGCACCTCACAAGTATGTAGAACAATTGCTTTTTGGTTATTTTGACTATAATTTTGCCTATACTTTTGGGGTCCACGTAGTTTTTAGACCACCCGCCCGGAAGATCAGAACGCTCCCTAAACTACAAACGACGCACTCGGAATCCTAGTTTCTATTTAGCTGGCTGTCTTTGATTCTCCATTATCCTATGTAATCATGGTATAATACTTATGATGGGGATCTTTTAGGATGTGAAAATCTTAGAACCACCTCAGAAAACCACAGTCCGCCTCCTAAACCCTGTACTGGCTCCTTACTGGGATACTGTGAAACTGTGAAACTCACAACCCTTCAGCTTGAAAACAAGGAGCTTTTTTCTTAAAGCCGCAAATGTGACCCAATATACAGCCAACTCCCAAACTACTCGAAACTTTAACCCCCCCAACCCCGTAAATCCCTACATCCAAAACCCAAAAACCTCAAAACTCCTGAACCCCTAAACCCCTTAAACCCCCTGAACCCTTCAACCCCTTAAACCCCTAAACCCCTTAAACCCCTTAAACCCCCACACCCCCAAAAAGCCGCCCTCAGGAAGGTTGCGGGCCTCAGCAGATGCCGCACCGCTGTGGGGCAAGTCCATAAAGACCTCGGCCATGTAGAAAAAAAACAAATGGAGCTTTAGGCGGTTGAAGGGGTTAGGGTGTCGGGGTTTGGGGGGTTTAGGGTTTATGGGTTTATGGGTTTAGGGTTCAGGGGTTAGGTTTTAGGGGCTTTGCGGGTTTAAGGTCTGGTGGTTTAACGGGTTTAGGGTTTTGGATATAGCTCATCTAGGCAAGAGGAACATGAAACAGTTTACTATATCAGCATAGGGACTAAGGTGTTACGGTGCAAGATAGGGGTTTCAGGAGGGTTTGCAATTCACGCTACTATGTGCTTCCTTAAAACCACTTTTCTCCGAAAAGGTACTGTACGGCTCCACCCTAACTGGGGGCCATAGAAAGCATGTAAGGAGCACGAATTCAGCGCGCTCTACCACCCAAAACCTCATGCGCCAGTGGCTATGCTGCCTGCCCAGAGTGAGGGTAACATGAGACCCCTATGTGTCTTACAAGGTATTGTGTTCAGGCAAACGTATGCTGATTCGAGTCTTTCGTCATGCTGACACTACAAGAAGCTAGGATGCAAGAAGCCCTCCCCCGACTGAGCGTTCGCCAAAGTACTGCGGCTGAACACCTAGAAGACCCAGCGCGCTCTTCGAGGCGTCGTGAAGCTCGAAGCTTAGTGAGAAGACATGAACAGCAGTCTAAATTGCTTGTATACCATCTGAAGAAAATGTCCGCGGCAATTTCATACTACAAGCGATCATGATCATGAGCGTCCCCCATAATGATTTCGACAATGCAACCATGCATGTGCTTACCATGAATTGGGGAGTGAATACAGGGCGCTTCAGGACCTGATCAAATTGAGGCCTTGTTTGTTACTGAGATCCCGCATTTCAGCGTGTTGCTTATGTAGGTAGGGCGTGTAGGGCCACTGCAAATGTAGTTCAGGGACAGATTCAGATGGTCATGCTAGCGTGAGGGTTGGATCAACACTTGAAGGCTTGAATGAGATGGTACACAAGAGTTGGACACCGTCAACGAAGACGATGCAGACTGCTGCACGGCGCCATCCATGCAGTGTTTAGTCGAACAGACCCCCCATTAACCTCCACAATTCATGGATATCCTGATTCTGAGGCATCCCACGGTACTCTGTCCCAATTCCACACCTATCTGCTCAGATAGATACCGTCAAGCTTTCGTTAGTAGGATTTTCCAGATGGCTAGCCCTTCATAACAGTCCCATACCAGCCCACTACCTGCAGGAGTATCATAGAAGGCCTCGTACGCACTTCCCCGGTCCACCTCCCATCCCTGTATACATAGAATCCAACATATTTGGGATACTTCAGGGAATATTTGAAATCAGATGACACGGGTGCTTTTTCGTGTATATGCTTCGGCCCTAAGGCACACAGGGGTTCCTATAATGTTCTATCTTGGTACTTTGGAGCCTACAAGTATATTTTGTATAGGTACCGAGACCCTTTGGGGTTACTTCTGTTGTGAACTTTGAGGTCGTGACCTGAAGTCCCAGGCGATGGGCCTCACAGAGCATAATCTTGCAAAGGCCATACCAGTTGCAAGCATTGAGTTGTGTCAAGCTCTAGGGCATAAGGCTTCAAGCTATCATGTTTCAAGTGGGGAGCTCGATGTGGGGCACTTTGAGGATCAAGGTTTGGCACTGAGGTGGGGTATACATGAACCTGGAACAGGCCAAGGATTGCCGGACGGGTCAACCCCTTAGAGAACACTGCCGCGCTGATATAATGGAAAAGAATTCCGTAATGATAAGAGTAACAGAACACGATCTCATTTATTAGATTAAGGTTCATGGGCTTGTTCATGTATGCATAGATTTTTCTCTAAACAGTATACACACGCAATAGTCAATAATCGAACAGGTATAAGAACAATGATTGCAGTAGCGATATGGTGGTAAGGTCTCAGATTCGGCCTGCTCGACTTCCATATCCTCTTTTTTGTATCCCATACTCTCTTTATTCAATGCCGCCTTTCATTCCCCTTACGCATGAGATCTCTGTGAACAGCCTTATTCACACTGGTGCTGGTCGTGCTTGTAGGCCTGTTGCTGCTACTACCCCTGCCACTGCTACTCCAACGTGCTACATACTGCCACTGCTACCATAACAACTGCCAGCAAGCTTAAAACCTAAAACCCTGAACTCCCCAACCCTAAACCCTACAGTATGCTATACCCAACCCCTCAGCAACCCTAAACTTCTCAGGGCCTGCAGCACCAGGCTCTTGAGCTCCTGGATATCGGATCCCAGGATTCCCAGGGGTTCCCCATCGGGGATTCTATAGGGAATGTTCTGAGAACTACTCAAAGTAGCAGTTTCAGCATTCTGCAGGTTGAGGGTTCTTCTTGGCCTTGTACGGGGCCAAGGGATAAGCCCGCAGACAGAGAATCTTTGGGCCAGGGAAGGTGTCCTGCAAGCCTTAGATTAAAGATGCAACAAGCTGTGGGACAGTTGTGAGATGTTGCCATGGAGGTGATGCTGGCGGAAAGTAGTTTACCAGTAGGGCTATCCCGCATGAGCTGGCCGATCCTTGTCACAAGCGTTGTTCATTCTTCTGGAATGCTTATAGTGGAACTGTTCCAAAACTGCTTTGAATTTTCAAAGGGTAGTGTGGTTCTGGGCCGGGAATATGACTGTAAAAGTCACTCTGGAGATGGTGTGGCAAAATCATGAGGTTTCGCATTTAGCAAGAACTCATGGGTATACAGACCCCACAACCTGTCAACGTGGATGCTGCATGAGGACATGTGCCTACGGGCGGTTCGTAGGAAGGTGTTCACATGAGGCTGCGTCGCGCATACAGCTACGAGCTAATGCTAGCACCGACTAGGAGGAGAAACCCTAGGTCAACACACAAGATGTTCACTGAGTGGGAGCTAAATGCCCCTGGAAACAGCCCTTGTGCAGTGCTACCATTGATGTGTAACATGGTATGAGGGTTTCCTCAAGTGTTGGATTGACTTACAAACTCCGAAGTAGGCCTGCAGTCTCGCAGCGGAAGAGGTCGATGGCACTTCGAGGAGAATACTAAATAAAATGGAAACTACTGTAACGGGTTATATAAGGATTATAACCCATTATAGTAGTTTCCGTTTTCTTTTCCATTATCAATATATACCCGATAAAACGAAAGATCGAGCCTCCATCAGCCTCAAAGCCAACATCGAGTCCCGTCACGTTTCCCAAATGGTTTTTCTACGGGGCCGTAGTCAGGATTCTATAGAGGTATCTTTGAAAGTTTCATCCGCATCTACACCCTAAACCCTCAAACCTAAGCCCTAAACCCTATAAGCCCCTAAATCCAAAAACCAATTGGGTCCTCCGTGGTCCCCAGCTCTCTTGCCAGCGCATACAAGCTCACAGGCTGGCGGCCCAGGGTGTTGCTGTCCTAAAGAGGAAACTTTTCTAGGCTTATGGGGCTTAGGGTTTAGGGCTTAGGGTTTTGGGTTTATAGGGTTTAGGGCTTAGGGTTTATAGCGTTTAGGGGTTAGGGTT